ATGTGCAGGGGGGTCTCCTGGAATACCGTTCCATAATCCCAAAGTAAACTTATAGGGGGATCTCCCGGGATACCATCCCGTAGTCCCAAAGTAAACACACACAACAACAAGAAGAGTACACGGTTCATTTCAAGTTCCATACCAAGGTAAAACAGGTGTTTCTAACCTAGCATGCTGCATGTAATCCAAATTAGGCAGTTTGAGCAAGTAAGGCAATTAAGTCAATTAGACATGCTTTCCTAGGCTAACAACAAGCTTAAATTGCAAGTAGTATAAATAGGAAAAGGAACATAATGGTAATTACTTACTGAAAAACTGGATTTTCAACAATTAGCACAAGTACGCACTTGTCACCTCACGTACAAGGCATCTCAATTATCAATAATACCAAATCCTAAGAGGAAGGTCCCCAACACAAGGTTAGGCAAGCCACTTACCTCGAACTGGCTCAAAGTCAACCCGAAACCACGTTCTTTCCACGAGTACTCAACTCCAAATGGCCCAAATCTATTCAATTCAATTGTATAATGTAATTAACACTTAAAGTAACTTATTCTACAAAGAATTTCTAATATAATACGCAAAATTAGGTAAAATGATCAAAATACCCCTCGGGCCCACGTCTCGGAATCAGATAAAATTTACATTTTCAGAATCCTTACTCTCACGAGTTCAGTCATACCAAAAGTACCAAAATCAGACCTCAAATGGTCCCTCAAATCATCACTCAAAAGTCTCTAACTAATCAAGCCCTAACCCCAAAATTACCACTGATTTTCCTCAAATTTTCATGCTTATAATGATAAAAATCACCTCAATAACAAGTTTAGGGACCAAAGACCTTGCCTCAATGAATTTCTCTGAAAATCTCCCTTGAAAATGCTCACCAAGGCTTCTCCCCGTTTGAAAAGAGGTGAAAATAACTCAAATTCGCGAAGACAACTATTTATATATTCTGCCCAGCTAATCCGCTTCTACGGTCATGGGACCGCACCTGCGGTCCCGCTTTTGCGGAACAAAGGTCGCATATGCGACAAATCACTAAACTCAGCTTTCCGTACCTACGACTCCCCTATGCAGATGTGGTACCGCTTCTGCGGTGAAGCTCCCGCTTCTGTGGTTCCTGCTGGTTCTCCCCCTTTTACGCTTCTGCGATGATGCCGATGCTTCTGCGGCTACACACCTGTGGGACCCAACTGCATGTGCGTTTATGACAGAAGATCAGCAGCTGAAGCTGCTCAAACAACTCTCAATTCTTCCGACAACCTTCCGAAACCAGCCTGAGGCCCCCGGGACCTCAACCAAAAACACAAACAAGTCTAGTACCACTGTCCAAACTTATACCATTCCTTAAAACACCTAAAACAATATCAAAACAATGAATTAACCACGGATTCAAGCCTAAGAACTCTAAAACTCTAAATTTATGCTTTCGATCAAAAAGTCTATCAAACCTCATCCAAATGACCTGAAATTTTGAACACAAATCATATTCAACACTACAGAGCTACTTCAACTTTCGTAATTCCATTCTGACTCTCGGATCAAAATCTCACTATGGAACCGGAAATTTCAAAATTTGACTTTCGGCATTTCAAGCCTAAATTAGTTACGGACCTCCAAAACACAATCCGAACACGCCCCTAAGCCCGAAATCACCCAACGAAGCTAACAGAACCATCGTAATTCCATTCCGAGGCCGTCTTCACACTGTTCCAACTATGGTTAAATTTCCAAAACTTAAGCTCTCATTTAGGGACTAAGTGTCCCAAAACTCTCTGAAACTCAAAACTGAACATCCCAGCAAATCAAAATAGCAGAAATAAATACGGAGAAAGCAGTTAATAGGGGATTGGGGCATTAATTCTTAAAATAACCGGCCGGGTCGTTACACTTTCATACTGCTCTTTCCAATTATCTGCCTCAATCTGGTAATCATGCATCAATTACTCTGTATGGGAAACCCTTTCATCATCTCCATGCCGATGAGATTGATCTACATAAAAAAAAGTGGATAACAATCCTAGTAGAAGGAAAATGGTATACGATATGAAAAGAAATTTATACCTTCAATGATGATTGCACGATGTCATTCATCCAAGTCAAAGAACTGTGACTTTCTAGCTTGGACTTTTCAACCGGACCAATCAAGGTATTTAATCACACTCAGCCTGGCTTGACTTCTTTAGAAGATTACCATCGGCAGGAACTTCAATGGTAATTTGCTTCATTACCCTTCTTCTACTTGAAGAACCAATTTCAGTATGAGAAATATTGGTAGCAGGGACAGCAGACAAAGTCATAATGGCTTGAGGCGGAGCAGAAATAACAGCAGTAAGAACATGCAAGTGGAATTCCATTGGCACAGATACAGGGAAGGAGGCAAGAGGTACTTCCTCAAACACCAAATCAAAGCCTTCATTATCAAACCCACACGAAAAGAAGTGTTCGGCAGAGTCACGAGGTGCCATGGGAGTTTCTTCATCAGAGCTCACTAAAGTGGCTTCAACAGGCTCGGTCACGGGAACAGAACGAGGAGGAGTAACTTCGTCATCCGAAATGATGCGTCTACCCGCGACTTTCTAACCAAAGAACTTCCATCCCACTCCTCTTTATCTTCAGAATCTTGAGGTCTGTCAGCTTTCCTTTTCAATGAAGAACTCAAGATTATCTCCTGAGCTCTCGCCAAAGAAAGTCTAGAAGCTGCGATTGACTTGCGCTTACACCAGGAATATGATACCCTGATAAAAAGAAGGGTTAAATACATTCTAATGAAAGAATGAACAAAAATAGAAGGGAAAGAATAATTTTTTTACCGTGAGTCTTAACTTTCCAACCAAACCTATTGAGAGTTACTTCCAAGTTCTAACTTCCATCGGAACAATAGTCAACAATTTCTCTACCCAACCATGGAAATTGAGAATTTCTTCAACAGTTTCCATGGTTGCTGACAAAAGAAAAGTGAAACACTCACGGGAAGTATAAATTCTTAAAAAAAAGAGACGAGAGAAAGTTGTAAAGAAAACTTACGTGCAAAATTCCACTTTTCAGGGAATGTCATATTTTCTTCACCTACTAACCCTATCATAGGAGTAGCAACAAATCGGGCATACCAGCCACGATCTTTATCGTCCTCAGGACTGACTAAAACTCTCTTACTCCTCGCCACCAAAGTAAATATTCCATGACGGAACAACTTAAGGGAGTAGAGATGGATTAGATGAAAAAAGGTGAAAGTCAATTGAGCCAAATTAGCCAAATACCCTAAACATGCAACAACCCTCCATATAATAGGGCCAATTTGTCCTTAACACACCTTGAAGAAGTGGCAGAATTCAATAATGACTGGATTAATAGGGGGTCTAAAGTCCAATGTAAAGGGGTATGTATACACAAAAGAAAAAAAACAACTTTGAAAGAAATGATCATTTGATTTGCATTAGGTATCAGAATTGGGAAATCGAACTTCCAATAACAATCTCTATGAACAATAGAGATCAAACCTTCAGTAATATGTGAAGGGTAAATATCGGCACGATCATGAGAGGACATAGAGGAAACCTAGTTTCTAATCGATTCTCTATCAATATAAAAAGAAAGTTCAGAAAGGATAATCTCGTCTATTGTAGGTTCACAGATTGGCTCATTGGAATCTCTACTTCTGGCAGAAGACCTATGTGGAAGAGAAGCCCTAGTTCTAGAAGATGAAGGAAGAGTGGAACTAGGTTGAGAAGAAGAAGAACCTCGAATAGAAACTGACCCTAAACTACGCAACCTTCCCCCTCTCCTGCTTCTAGTAGGACCAAAGGGAAGTTCATCTACGATAAGAACTTTTTGAGGATCAGGGTTTGAAGAAGACACAGTTGTACGAAGAAGAAGAGAAGATTGAATAGTCAAAGATGGAAAACTTTTCTATGAAAGAAAATACAAAGGATATATTTATACTCAGAAGCAACCGTCAAACAAAAAGATATTGATGTGAACGCCATAATGAAAACTGTCACTTTGTGATTGATGTAGCCGTAAAAAAGCCTTAAAAGACGCTGAAGAACTACAGAACCAATCAAAAATCACCACGTGTCATATGCATTAAATGGAAGTGACATGCGAAACGTCAGTTCTGGAAAAAGTATAATGATATGTGGGAATGACGGCAAAAATTCTCGCTTTAATAAGATCCACTTCCCAGATATTCAATTGCTGAATAAATGGCAAGTGGGGGGACTATCTGTATTGGGGAAAATCGAGTTAACATTTGGAATTAATTATGTGCTGACATGTCAAGACACGTGGATCAATAAAAGAGTGAGAGCTATCAAAGAGTATTCAAAGAGACTCGAGCCTTAATAGGTACGGGCAAAGGTTCAAAAAAATAAGAAGGAACGGTTACTCGAATCTCTTGATAATTTGAAGAGACATCAGTGAAATGAACCTAGATAGCAAAAGTACAAATACATATTATCTGCAATTAATGAGCATAAATTATGGGAAATATTATAGAATCTTCACGAAACAGTTACGATTGCCAATTATAATGTTACATTAATGCCATTAATTATTCACAATGGCTCTATTATGAGAGGAAAGAAACGTAGTACTTAGAAATAACTATAAAAGGAGAGAAATAATATTTGTATTGGACACACTGATTATTATTGGAATATACTTATTTACAATGCTTTAAATTGCTTACTCGGCTACTTCTCAGTCCATTTTTTCTTCTCTTGTTACGTAATTATTTTCTTATTTGATTATCAGTAACCCGAGTTCTTCTAAAATTACGCTTTGACCGAAATTCTTATTTTTTGGTTAAACAACCTCATTAAACAATAGCAGGGACACATGGACTGATCATAACCTTTGTTCATTAAGTAATGTGTTTTGTTCTCAACCATAGGATATGTATCTAGAAGCTTCTTGTGTAAGGACTCAACATCATTATTTATGCACACACGTGAGAATATAGGGGAGCATGTGATAGGCAGTTGGTATGGTTGATGTGTGTATATAATAAGATATTGTACATGCATTTTATTTTGAGCCGAATGAAATTAATTTTCTTCTTCCCCAAGTTTTACATGGTATCAGAGCAAATCAATTTCATCATATCTAGTTTAGATTTTTTTACAGAAATTTCTAGAAATCTTAGAAATTCCTTGATTTTCTTCTGTTGAATATGGTCTTGATTGAGGATTCTGCTTCAGTGATTCTGCTGCTTCTGTTCCTCCTCTAATGGCGAAAATCGATCGTCTTCATCCTTACTATCTTCATGCATCAGACTCGCTAGGTATGGCTTTGGTATTCTCTGCTTTTGACAGCACTGGATATGAATCATGGAGGAAATCTATCTTACTCTCTTTATCTGCTAAAAACAAGCTTGGTTTCATTGACGAGACCTTGGTGAAGCCAAAGGAAAATTCTGAATTTTTCAATCTATGTACGAGATGTAATGATATGGTATTTGCTTGGATATTGAATTATCTCACCAAGAAATTAGATGCAGTATAATTCACTCCAAATATGTGCATGATTTGTGGAAACAGCTTAAGAAAAGATATGGACAGTCTAACCTAGCATAATTATTTGAGCTATAAAAGCAAATAATGAAAACTGTACAAGGGTCAAACAATATCGCGACATATTTCAATAACATGAAAGTTATATGGGATGAAATTAATCTACTCAATGCTAGGGCAGTATGCAGTTCTGTTGACGATAAGTGTGGAGCTGTGGAGAAAAATAGTGCACTTGAGAAAAGACAAAATTTAGTGCAATTTTTAATGGGACTCAATGAACGTATACTGCTTGTAGAGGTAACATAATGATGATGAATCCCTCACCAGACATTGACCGAGCATACTTTCTGCTACTACAAGAGGAGAGGCAAAAAAGTATACAACCTATGGAAAATTTACCTACAGAGTCTAGTTCTTTCTCTGTTGCTAGACAATCATTCACCATAGGGTAATGAAATCAGAGGTTCAATATGCAACAAGGGGAATCTTGCAACACCTCAAAACCAAACTCCTATCAGGACTACAAGGGCAATTCTAATTGCAAATATTGCAAAAATCCATGACATACTATAAAAAAATATTTCAAACTTCATGGTTATCCCACGAATTTTAACAAGGAGGCTTTAAGAACAACAAACCAAGGTAGAATACACAACCAACATTCTATAATTCAGCACATAGTAATGCAATAAGTACTGAAGCAGAATCTACTTAATCTCCAAGTACTGATGTTACTGTTGGATCGAATCAAGAGCAAATTTCTCAGTTATTGGAAGTACTACACCAAGTCAAAATTGCACAATAAGACACATCTGGTTCTGAAGCAAATGTGACAGTTAACTGTGCTGGTATTACTTTCTTTACTATCTTAACTACTCCTAAAAACTCTATTTGTCATTTTTGGATAATGACTCTGGGGCTTCAGAACACTTCACCTTTGATGAGTCCATTCTATTCAACATTATGCCCTTACAACAATCTATATTTGGTAACCTACCTAACTTCTTTAGGATTAAAGTCACTCATGCAGGTCAATCTTTTATTCACCTGAATTAACTCTAAACAGAGTCCTTTTCGTTCCTAGTTTCAAATTCAACCTATTATCAGTTCAAAAATTATGTTTGCAATTTAAAGCTTGTTTACCTTCTCCGCTACTTGTTTCTTACACGGCCCATCCTTGAGGAAGCCTCTGGATCTTGGTAGAGTGAAAGATGGGCTTTATCCGCTGCAAACTTTTCACCCTATTTCTGTTAATAACCTGCAGACAAATAAGACAAACTCATCATCTGTAAATAATTTGTCATCAGTCTGTTTGCACTTCATTGTCTAGTTCTGAAATTTCATGTGGCAATCTATGGCATGTAAGACGTAGGCATATGCACACTTCCAGTATGAAACACATTTCTGCATTGTCACAGAATGCTTTTACTACTGATTCTTTTCTTTGTTCTATTTGTCCCTTAGTCAGGCAACATAAGCTACCATTTCCCAACAGTACTACCTCTACATCACACATTTTTAAACTTCTACATATCGATACTGGGGACCTTACAAAATAACTACCCATTATGGTTTTAGGTACTTTCTCACTATAGTTGATGATTTTAGTAGGGGTATTTGGACCTATCTTTTGAGCACAAAAGGAAATGCATTTAGTGTTCTCAAATCTTTTATTGCTATGATAGAAAGGCTATTTGCCACCAAAAATTAAAATCATTAGATCTGATAATGCCTTAGAACTGGGGAGTGGTGCTATTGCTGCCACCTATTTTCAATCCAAAGGTATCTTTCAACAAACTAGTTATGTGGCCACCCCTCAACAAAATAGTATTGTTGAAAGGAAACACAAATACTTGCTTGAAACTTGTAGAACTTTGCTATTTCAATCTAAAGTTCCTACTATTTACTAGGGTGAGTGCCTTTTGACAACCACTTTCCTTATCAACAAATATCCTACCAAATTGCTTCACTACAAAACACCCTATGAGGTTCTTTTTGGCAAATCTCCTGGTTATAATTTTCCTAAGTGTTTTGACTGCCTATATTTTTCCTCTACTATGTCTCAACACAGAGGGAAACTTGATCCTAGGGCTATTGCTTGTGTCTTTCTTGGTTACCCTTATGGAAAGAAAGATTACAAGCTAGTGAACTTACAAACTAACCGTATCTTTATTTCTAATAATATTGTTTTTCATGAGTCTATCTTCCCCATCTTTATTCTACCTTCTGTTTCTTCCCCACTATTTTCTGAATCCCCTACTGTACCTTTTTCCTCATATCCTCTCTATATACATATTACTGCTTCATCTCTTATTCCCTCACCTTCTCCTCTCCTTCCTTCTAATCCTTCCTCTCCTTTCCCTGTATTCAGGTCATGATCTTCTGCCCCATCATCTTCTGGTTCTACATCTTTGGTTGTCTTGCCTCCTTACAGATCTTTTCGTACCTCCCACTCTGCCTATTCCTCTTCATTCTGATAGTCAGGCCGCGATTTACATCGCCAAAAACCCCGTCTTTCACGACCAGACAAAACACGTCGAACTTGGTTGCCATTTCGTCCGTCGACAGTTTCAATGTGGCCTCATTTCTCTTTTTTTTTTCTTCCCACTCGTTCTCAGTTAGCGAACATTTTTACCAAACCTCTNTATATTTTAATTTTTCATAGAAAATAAGTTGATTGATTTTTCATAATTACTAATTCCCTTTTTATGAACAATGATCCGTTGACAGTGGTGGTATTGTGTTGAGAGAAAGTTGCGGCGGCCAGGGTTATTGAAGCTCTTGGATGATAACAAATGAGAGAAAGCAATACACAAAGCTGCCTCATTAAGCAATAGCAAGGACACGTGGACTGATCATAGCTTTGTTCATTAAGTAATGTGTTTTGTTCTCAACCATAGAATCTGTATCTAGAAGCTTTTTGTGTAAAGACTCAACATAATTATTTATGCACACACGTGAGAATATAAGGGAGCACGTGATAGACGGTTGGGTTGGTTGATGCGTGTATACAATAAGACACTGTATAGACATTTCATTTTGAGCAGAATGAAATCAATTCTCTTCTCCAACTAATTTTCTTCTTCCCCAATTTTTACATGATCTGTATTTATTATTAGAAGTAAATGATTTAATAATATAAATATTCTGTTAAATTTGAATTTCATAGAAGTTAAACTCCTACAATAATGAATAAAAGGTCATTCTTTGGAGTAAATATAAACAGCCACTTATGTACACAAAAGGGAACAAAGATGTGATGGTAAATTAAGCCCTTTGGCCTTTGTCCCGATAAATGGATCACACTGTACGATCTTTGACATTGAGTAACAAAATAATTCCAGGTGTAGCGGGATTTGAACTTTGACCGGAATAAGAAAGTCATCGTCAGTTGAAACCGTGGGAAATTTTATACGATGATTATTTTATCCAATCCATTAAACCAAACGAGTCCTCATAGTTTTCGTGGTTAATTATCAACCCGGAGAAATTCCGAATAGAGGCCTAAATCGTTCGTAAAGACAGATTTTTTTGGATACTAAGATCTAAAGCTGAGAGGAAACTAACTCAGACCTCAAATTGTACGCTAAGGTACCTAAGCAATCATTTAGTAAAAAAGGAAGTGATCGAGCGATGATAACCAAAGCACAGCTAAGTCAATTTCCCGAAGAAAAGAGAGGATAGATTGCCAAAGAGGAGCAATCATCTACTTTAGAAATAACTATTCAGAGTTCTTAGAGCTCTTCGGCTTGCTGAAAACCCCGTTGTTGGACTTGATTAATCGGCCTTTGATGTTCACACTGAATCGTTTCGTTTTTGTCACATTGACATTCCGCATTTGCTCACTTAGAGTCAATTACTTGGAAGCAACTTCATCCTTACACCACGTAGATAAGAAATTCTCTAACTTCAATAATTCAATCAAGCGTCTGAACAGCAAATTAGCTACTAAAAAAAATCCCAGGAACTTATTCTCTCTTTTATTTTGTTTATTTTTTTGGGAGGGGTGGGGAGGTCCCTCCTCCTTTAATATCGTACTAACCCATGCACAGCATGGTATTAAATTTAGTATATTATTATGTATATTATTACTATTAAAAGTTTATACTTAATTAAGTATTTTTTAAAATTAGTGAATGTAGATTTCAAATATTATACAAAAAATTAATAAAGATAAAATATTATTCTAGTAGGAAAGGAGTTCAAAAATTATTATATCTTTTATATTATTGTAAAAGTACTAAACCCCAATGCAGAAAAATAAAATTATTTTTTTAATATTGAGAACAATAATTAAATCTTTGAATTAATTACTCCCTCAGTTTCAGTTTATATAAAACCTTTTACTTTTTCGAGATTCAAATTATATAAAATTTGACCAAAATATTTGAATCTTTTTCATCGTATTGACATGAAAATATTGCAACTTATAGTATTTCTCGTATAATTTTTGAATATCTAAAATTTAACTTTAAAATATCAAATTAAGCTAATCCAATTTAGCTTCAAAGATTAGTCAAATTAACTCTTGAAAGGCGAAATATTCACATAAACTAGAAAGGAGGGAGTAATGACAAACATTTTTAAAATTATCATATAAATATAACTATTTATTAAATTTATGAAACTCTTAAGGTACATAAATTTATTTTCACAAGAAGAGCATTGACGATTAAAAAAATAAAAAATAGAGCAAAATTGATTATGTTATAGTCTAACTTGTTATTTGTTTTTCATATTAGGTAACAAAAATAACAATAATGTTAATTTTTTTTATTTAGTGAACTAGCTAAATTGGATCAATATTTATATTTTTTTTAAAGTTTAGATCTTTTTCCTTAATTTTTGTTCAATAACTCAATATAGTTAACTATTTTTGAAAAAATTATATACTCATGATATAGGTACACACGCTAAGTGCGTACCCTAAGACTAATATATATATATATATATATATATATATATATATATATATATATAGAGAGAGAGAGAGAGAGAGAGAGAGAGAGAACGACTTTTGGCGAATTGATGAAGCTTTGAATGACTGCATATATTGTTCACCGTCTGATTCTCCAAACTAAGTCTTTTATTAGCACATGTGAAAATATCTATAAATATAATATTTCTCCATTCACTCCCAATAAATTCAAATTTATTAACTAGAATTAAAACAGATCTGGCATTTCTCTGCATATCGATTATCTTATAACCACAAAATCTACTTAAGAATTAGTTTTAGACTTTAATATTGAGTGGATTGCACAAATTTGGAAGTACTTTTTTAAATGTTCAACTGAACTGTTCCAAATAAGAAGGAAGTAAAATCTTTTATCTTCTTCTTTTTTTGTTTTGTTTCCACCCGGTGTCTGGTACTCGCATTGGAGATCGATTATATTCGGATTCTAGCCGCGTAGTGCCCCATTCGGGGAGAAGCGCTCCCTACCAAAATTTTTTCCATACCCAAGGCTCGAACTCAAAACCTCTGATTAAGGGAAGAACATCTTAAATTACAAGCATGTTACAATGTCTTTTAGTCTTTGTTAATTATCATTTCTCATCTAAAATTGAACTTAACTACGTGTATCAAATTCTTTGACTTTCTGAGTGAAACTAAAATAAAATGGCAACTTTGACATTCCTAGGAGAAGCAAGGAGTGAATTTCGATATCTATCTATTTTCAGTATTACAGAATTTTAAAAACTATCAATACCATTTAATCGATTTAGAAAAATACACAATCATTCACGGTATGATTGACCGAGGAGCTCCGATAAATACCGCAAAATGTTGTAATAGAATGATAAGCATTTCTCAATTCTTAATTAATGGTTTTGAGTTCGAACCTTAAGAATGAAGTTGACTTGGATAAAAAAACCTTCTCTCCTAAAGTAAAACTTTCCGATATAAATCTAATTAATCAAGCGAGCGAATACTGAACATCTTAAGCAAAAAAAAGTGCTCCAATAAAGAAATGGCTGAGGTGCAAAAGCAGATCCAGAATTTAAATTTTATGAGTTCAACATTTAAAATTCTAAACATTGAACTCATCGTATCTTTAAAATTATGAGTTCTTATCAATTAATTATTACAAGTTTAATGAATTTCTTTTTCATAAATATATAGACAACCGCCTCTGCTGAGGTGGACGTACGTGGTGGTCCTACAGCTGATGCGGTGAATGAATTTAAGTAAATATGGTCAAATTTTATTTGTCAGACAGCTCGCGAGGAAGAGAAATGGAACAGTGTAACATTTGCAGTGTCCGGCACGTGAGTGACCGACGCATTGACACGTGAGAGAAGACTACAGTCAAACTGGATATAATGTAGAAAGTTGAAAAGGAGTGACAGTCATTTTGAGGGGCGGCTCTAAAGACTTGGCCCCATTACCTTAAGGCCCCAAAATTTAAATGACCCAAATTTACTTAATACTCTCCCTCTCCCTGTTTCAAATTATGTGAACCTATTTGAATGGACACGAAGTTTAAAAAAATAATTTTTTTTAGAATTTGTGATCCTAAACAAGTCAAAAAGTGGCCTAAGAGTATTTGTGTGGTTATAAAAGCTTCTCATTAAGGGTAAAAATGTAAGTTTAATCTAAATTGTTACCAAATTTAGAAGAGATCATTCTTTTTGAAACGGACAAAAAAAATAGGTTCATATAAACTGGAACAGAGAGAGTATCTTATTACTATGATTATTATATACTATAGAATTTATATAAGTAATTATTATAAAGAAAAGTATTATAGTATATCTTTTTGTTATTTGATTGAGGTTATTTTATACCAATAAGTTCATAAATTATAATAATTTTCTCACTTATTGATTAATTAGTATATTTGCTTCACTTTTCAATTTCACTTTTATCCTTTTTAAATATGAATTAAGATATATATCGACAACATAATGAATTTCTTTTACAATCTTCTTTGAAGTTGCATGAACACAAAATCCTTCATGCACCGGTTTTCTTTTAATGTAATTTAACATATTATATTAGGTTATTTACAATTAATTTTAGATATTCACCAATATGTGCTTCTAATTAATAGAATGAACTATAATTATTATTAAAAATTGATCATAATGAATAGATATTTTTGGCAGTGTCAATACTCAAAACTTAAGTTAAGTATTACGTTATGTATGTTATTTTTTTTTTTTGAAATTCGCTATTTTGTGTCTTAAACGATTAATTTGTTGTTTAGAAAGCAAAGTTGTTATTAGTGTAAAAATTTTATAAAATAAATTTAAGGGTTTCTCAATACGGTTTCGCTTAAGCCACAAGAACTATTGAGCCGCCCCTGATCAGTTTGTGGCCGTTATGTTTAAGATAAAGATTAATTAACTCTAATTGAAAACTTTAGTTGGAAACTGACGTAGATGGGGCAGCTCGATGCATAAAGCTCTTGCTTTGCACGATGTCCGGAAAAAAGTCAGACTACAAGGGTTTATTATACGTAGTCTTACCCTGCATTTATGCAAGAGGCTATTTTCATGACTAGAACCCGTAACCTCCTGGTCACATGCCATATATGAGCAGAATGACTATTAATTAACTATAATATTTATTAATTTAACACTATTAATGGCAAACATGAATTAATTTTTATTGAACGAGTACAAATTTTCTACTA